AAACAAGCAAACTAAAGTCCTAGGGTCAAGGAATACAATAACTTAATTGAAGATTCATTGGAAAGCTTCATAGCTGACTCAACCAAGCAGAAGCAAGAATTGATTAACTAGAAAAAGAGTCATTTGAAATCATCCAGTTAGAGAAGCAAAAAGAAAAGAGAATGAAAAAGAGTGAAAAAAACCTACATGAAGCATGAGATACCATAAAAGAAACAAGCTACTCGTTGTTAAAGTCTCAGAAGAGAGGGATAAAGGGACTGAAAGCTTATTTAAAGAAATAATGATTAAGAATTGTCCAATCTGGGGAGAGACTTGGATATCCATGTTCATGAAACTAATATGTCACCCTAAAATTTCAGACCAAGGCACATTAAAATAAAACTGTCTAAAATAAAAAAACCAAGAGAAAATTTTTAAAGCACCAAAAAAAAAAAAAACTGCTCACAATAAGGGAAACCCCATAAGGCCATCATCAGATATTTTAGCATAAATTTTTCAGCCCAAGAGAGTGGGATGACATATAAAAGTGTGTGTGGGGTCGGGGGGAAACTCTGCCAACCAAGAATACTTTACTGTCTTTCAGAAATGAGGGAGAAATAAAAGTTGATAGAATTCATCACTAGACTTGCCTTACAAGAAATGCTGAAAGGGGCTCTTCAAGCTGAATTGAAAACACACTAATCAGTAACATGAAAACATATGAAAATATAAACATAATAGTAAAGGTAAGTATATAGTCAAATTCAGAACACTTTAGTACTTTAATATGGTGATGTGTTACCAGGCTTCCTTGGTAGCTCAGTGGTAAAGAATCTGCCTATCAATGCAGGAGATGTAAGTTTGATTCCTGGGTCAGGAAGATCCCCTGGAGAAGGAAATGGCAACTCACTCTAGTATTCTTGCCTAGGAAATCCTATGGACAGAGGAGCCTGGTGGGCTACAGTCCATGGGGTCACAAAAGAGTCAGACATGACTTGGCAACTAAACAACAATGACATGGTGATGTGCTAATTGCTTAACTATAGTATAGAGTTTAAAGGACAAAAGTATTAAAAAATAACTATAGCTACAATATTTTGTTAATAGATACACAATATTAAAAGAGGCAAACTGTGATATCAAAAACATAAAATATGGGACAAGGAGTAAATGGGTAGAATTTTTATATGTGATCAAAGTTAAGTTATCAGCTTAAAATAATCTGTTATATCATTAAGATATTTTATGTAAGTCTCATTGTAATCACAAAGTAAAAACCTGCAGGAGATACACAAAAGATAAAGAGGAGAGAATCAAAGTATCAGTTCCCAAAGAAAGTCAGGAGAAGAGGAAGAAGGGGACAAAGGAACTACAAAATATCCAGAAAGCAAGTTTTTTTCTTTTCTTAAACTAAATTGATGAACTTTTAGCTAGCTGCCTAAGAGTATAGTTAGAATTCCCTAATAAATAAAATCAGAGATGAAAATGGAAACCTAACAGCTAGCACCAAAGAAATGCAAAAGATCATAAGAGACTACTATGGACACATATGTCCCAGCAAGCTGGATAACCTCGAAAAAGTTTTTAGAAACATACAATGAAGTGAGACTGAGTCATGGAGAAATGGAAACTTTGAACAGATCAATAACCATAAGGAAATTGAATTATTAATCAAAAATCTTTCAACAAAGAAAATCCTGAGTCCAGATTGTTTCACTAGTGAATTCTACCAAATACTTAAAAATTAATGCCAATCCTTCTCAAACTCTTCTAAAAAAAATTAGAGAGGAAAGAACATTTCTACATTCATTTTACAAGGTCAACATTACACTGATACCAAAGCCAGATTAAGGACACCACAAGGAAACTATAGACTAATATCCCTGATGAATATAGATGCAAAAAATCTCAACAACATACAATAAAAGGATCACACACCATGTTCAAGTAGGATTATTCCTGGAATGCAAAGATGATTTAACATGTGCAAATCAATAAATGTGATACACCACATTCACAGAAGATAAAAATCATATGATCAGGTGCAGGAAAAGCATTTGACAAAATTCAACATTCTTTAGATAAAGCACTCAACCAAATTGAGCATAAAAAAAATGTACCTCAACATAATAAATGCTATATATAACAAAATCATAGCTAACATCATACTCAATGGTGAAACCTTTTAATCTTTCTCACTAAAATCAGTAACACGACAAAGGTACCCACTTTTACCGCTTCCATTCAACATAATACTGGAAGTCCTCTTCAGAGCAGTTAGGCAAGGAAAAAAAATAAAAGGCATCCAAATTTGAGAGAAAGAAGTAAAAATTCCTGTTTGTAGATGATATGATCTTACATAGAGAAAAATCCTAGAGTCCACCAAAAAACTGTTGGAACTAAGCAACAAATTCACTAAAGTTGCAGGATACAAAATCACTATACAGGTATCAGTTGTGTTTCTATACACAAACAACAAAATATCTGAAAAAGACTTAAAAGATGCAATTTCATTTACAATAGTATCAAAACCAATAAAATACTTTGGAATAAATTTAACCAAGGAAGTGAAAGATCTATACACTGAAAATTACAAGACATCAAAGAGAAAATTAAACAGGACACAAATAAATGGGAAAATATACCATGTTCATGGATCAGAAGAATTAATATTATTAAATTGAACAAGCCGCCTGCAGCCATGCATAGATCCAATGCAATCCCTATTAAAACTTCAATGGCATTTTTCACAAAAGCAGGTAAAAACACCTAAATTTTTTAAGGGCTACAGAAGAATTTGAATAGCCAAGGCAGTCCTGAGAAAGAAGAGCAAAGCTGGAGGCATATTTCCTGCTTTCAAGAGAAGAGAAGGGGACTTTTGTACACTGTCAGTGAAATGTAAGTTGTTTTGAAGCCATCATTAAAAACAGTGTGGAGTTTCCTTAAAAAATTAACGATGAAACTACCATATGATACAGCAGTCCTACTTCAGGGTATACAGACATCTGTCAGTATCTGGAGGATTAATTCCAGGACCCCTTGCATTTACCAAAATCCATGAATGCTCAAGTCCCATACTTGATTCTCTGTATCCATGGGTTTCAAATCTGGATTCAACGAACCTTGGGTGGAAACTTGAATCTACAGTTGGTTGAATCTGCAGGTGGAGAACCCATAAATACAGAAGGCTTTTTGTATTTACTGAAAAAAGTCCATGTGAAAGTTCTAACCCAAGTTGTTCAAGGTCAACTATATATCCAAAGTAAATGAAATCACTGTCTCAAAGAGATATCTGTACTCCCAAGGCAATTGGCAAAGCATGGAAAAAGTTGTGTCTATCTATGGATGAATAGATAAAGATGTGGTATATACTCGCAATGGAATATTGTTCAGTTATAAAAAAAGAAGAAAATTCTTTTTATGACAATATAGATAGACCTTGAGAGCATTATGCTAAATGAAATAAGTTAAAGACAAATACTATATGTTCTCACTTATATGTGGAATCTATAATAACAAACTCATAGAAATAGAGAGTAGAACGGTGGTTACCTAGGGCTGTGGCGTAGAGAAAATGGGGAGATGTTGGCCAAAGGATATAAGCTTCTAAATATAGGACGAGTAAGTTTCTGGGCATCTAATATACAGCACAGTGACAGTAATTAGCAATATTGTATTATGTATTTATAAGTTGTGAAGAGAGCAAATCTTAAATGTTATCACCACAAAAAAGATAATTATTTGAGGTGATGAATGTGTTGATGGATTTATTAAGTCAACTTATTGTGGTAATTATTTCACAATGTATATTGTATCGATTCATCACATTGTACACCTTAATTTTATAAATATGTTATATGCCAACTTTATCTCAGTGAGGCTGGGGGAAAAGAGAAATTATGTTAAAAACTAAGGAGATTTGTGTAGAGTTTGTAATAATACATTTCAATATCGGTTCATTAATTGTGACAAATGTACAATATTAGTCTAAGATCTCAACAATAGAGGAAACCAGGTGTGGGGTGTGTGTGAACTCCCTATACTATCTTTGCAACTTTTCTGTAAATATAAAAGGGTCAACTACATTTGGCCCTTGAAAAATGAGGGGTTTGGGCACCAACCCTCCCCCCCAGTTGGAAATCCAAGTATAGCTTTACAGTTAGCCCCCTGTATTCATGGTTTTGCATTGGTGGATTCAACCAAGGATCATGTAGTATTATAGTATGTATCTAGTGGAAAAAAAAAATCTGATTATATGTGGACCCACATAGTTCAAACCCTTGTCCAAGGGTTAATTTATATTCTAAAATAAAAATTTTATTCAAACAACAGAAGAAAATATTTAAGATGACTGGATCCCATTTGAGTTACTAGTTCTTTCTTAGAGAAAAGGATTGATGTGCTAAGACTCCTAAATAAAAAATAATTCCTAGCTAGCTAGTCACATCCAGAAATACTTCTATAGATATTTCTATCAATGTCTTTTCAGTAGTGTTGAATCAAATTGCTATTAAAATAGCCATATAATACAAAAAATGATCCTGGAGGATGGCATGGCAACCCACTCCAGCGTTCTTGCCTGGAAAATCCCATGGACAGGGGAGCCTGGCGGGCTACAGTCCACAGTGTTGCAAAGTCGGACACAATGAAGCGACTTAGCACGCATGCATGCATAATACAAATACAACTAGCCATTTTGATTAGAAGTGTGTTATTTCCTTTTTTTTCCCCATTTATTTTTATTAGTTGGAGGCTAATTACTTTACAGTATTGTAGTGGTTCTTATCATACATTGACATGAATCAGCCACGGATTTACGTGTGTTCCCCATCCCGATCCCCCCTCCCACCTCCCTTTCCACCTCTGGGTCTTCCCAGTGCACCAGATCCGAGCACTTGTCTCATGCATCCAACCTGGGCTGATGATCTGTTTCACCCTTGATAATATACATGTTTTGATGCTGTTCTCTCGAAACATCCCACCCTCGCCCTCTCCCAAAAGTGTTTTATTTCTTTACGCAGTGTCCTGGCTGGTTACAATGGCACCATTTTTGCATATGGACAAACAGGCAGCGGTAAGACGTTCACCATCACAGGTGGGGCGGAGCGCTACAGCGACAGAGGCATCATCCCAAGGACACTGTCATACATTTTCGAGCAATTACAAAAGGTATGAAGCTTTCAGTTCATTTTATGCTTGATACATTCAGCAGGAATTTACTGTGGGTGGAAAATTTATTGTGACATTTTATTGTATTATATATAAATGAGGAAATATTGTGTAGTAACTATGGCCATAATTTACATTTAAGGAAAGTTTGGGGTTTTGCTGAAAAGGTAGAAATTCAGAAGGTGCCTCATTTAAGTGATTCTGCTTCAAAAAGACTCAAAGGGAGTTCCTTCTCATACACCCATGGAGGTTAAAAGAACAGATAACATATTTTTCCAACTAATATCTTCTCTTTCTCATTAAGAAATTGAAAAATATCTTTTATTTTAGCTACTAAAGCAGTGAATAGGATAGTGTGGCTTTACCTTCTTCACACTTTTATTGAGGGCCCAGAGGAATTTACCACAGTAAACATCCTATTGCAATTAATATTGTTATGAAGAGGAGTTTTCTATATATAGTATATGCATCATTTATTGTATAGTTCCAAATGCCTGTTTCTTTTTTCTTTAAGTAGCAGAGGATAGCTTTATTACTTTTGCTAGGCAGAGAGGGACAGAGTGGTTTGCTGCCTCAAAAAATTATGTCCCCCAAATACCTGTTTCTTTATCAAGATTTAACACAACTGACAGTGTAGGTATCTCTATCCTCATTTGATAACTGAGAAAACTGACAGTCAGAATGGCTTTATTTTGCTGATTGTTTTTAAACAAATCCTACACAATGAGTCACTTAAATTTTCTGGGTTTCAGTTCTCCCTCTGAAAATAGGGACTACATTGTACTAGACAATCTCTGGCATCTCTGCTAGTTCCAGCACTTCTTTGGTTGTATCAGTTCTGTGTAACAAATGGCCTAACTGGGTCAGTGTAACAGTGTTTCCAAAATTTCTCCACTGTATACTGCTTGCATTTTGAGTTGCAAAGATGAGAATTGCTGAGATATGCATAATTCTAATTTCCACCCATAAAGTAGCAATTACCCATTAGTTCAGCTCATCTCTCCCTAGCGCAAACATGCCAGCTCTGCATGCCAGAAAATTTGGGAAGGAAAGGATTGAGTATAATATATATGTTGAATCTAAATTCTTCCTTTTCATTTACTCATTTATTTCTGACATTAGCTGTTTTGTTTTGTTCCCAGATCTCACAAACTGGGAATATAATTTCTAGTAGTTTTTGTTGCTTAATGTAGGAGTGTGCTGTCTTGGGGAAATCAGTGAAGTGGTGCTGGCAACCTGGGTCTACGTGCACCGCTTAACAGGGTGTGGACTTGGGCAGTTGCTCGATGTCTCGGGCTTGTGGGGTAGCTTTGAGAGTTGAATATACTGTGTTTAAAGATACTGTCCAGTTCCTGGCACATAGGCAATGCTCAAAACATGATAGCTGTTACTGCAGCCATTAATGTCTTCTGGCCAATTGACTTCTGGCCAATTTCAAAGAACCCTTTGAAACTTAGAACGAATGGAGCTAATCCCCTAATTAAGTTAAACAAAATAAATTCTTTCCTAGTAGAAAATATATTTGTCTTTAAATTTCATCTGTGGTTACCAAAATACAGTTTTTAAAGTCTAAATATCTCCCCAAGTACCTACCATCTATTGGGTTCATTGTTTTATATCTGTCATTGACGTCACTCCAAACCTCATTTCATTCTGAATGATTCTAAATAACCTCCTGGACTTGGAGGGACCCCATCAGACCAATGTAAAACCAGGACAACTCCTTGTAAATGAACAGATTAACAGGATGGGGCACAAGGCATTTGTTATAAACTGACTGAACTGTGGCAGAATGAGTCAGAGGCAACTTTGAAATTCTTCATAAAGTTTGTCCTCACTTCTTAGCTGAAAAATGCTGACAGGTACTCAGCTGCCCCCAGTTGATTGCTTTATAAGTCACATGGTGCTCTCCAGACTCCTTAAAGGAAACATTTGACTTATGCAAAGTATTTATCTCAAGATAAACTAAGAACTAGTGCATACCGGGTGCTAAAATGCCTGTGAGTGGGTGATAGCACATTTGCAAAGATTTTCAAAGATGAAAATTGATTTCATTTATTTTAGAAATCACCGCTCATCATTTTCGAGTATTGTGAGGCTCATACTTGTTTTGGGGCAGGAGAAAAGGCTGTCTGCAGGGAACATGTGTGTTACATTACAGTCTGGCAGTCCTAAACAGTAAAAAAAGGAGTAATAAGGAAAGGTAGCTGCCACATAGCTCAGTGAATTTTAAGTGTGTATTCCAAGAAAAGCCCAGAAAACTCAGAAGCTGGAGGAGCCAAAGGAATTATCCCTATCATCTCAGGGCAATGAACTTGCCATTTTCCTGACTTTTTTATGATTTCTTCTAGTTTCTGGAAGAAGAGAGTTTCTCCCCTGCCGATGAACATACAGTTTGTTCTTTTTGCCTTTCTTTTCCTTTCCTTCTGTGTTCATATACTGAATTCTCTGTTTGGAAGCTTTCAGAAATAAAAATAATAACAGCAATAATAATAATAGCAGCAGCAGCAATGATTTATTGGAGACTATTAACATTTATCGGTGCCTAGCATTGTTGTTAGGATTTAAAATACAGAAACTTATTTCTCCATTACAGTAGTTCTGCAATTAAAGGTTATCATCCCCAATTTTGTGATTAAACAACTGAGGTTAAGGGCGCATGATCACTCAGTTATAAAGGCAGATCCACTGCTCTAACCCAGCTTTGTCTGATGCTGAGATGAATTCATATTTGTATGCTGAAATCTCAAACCATAATCGATGGGACATGTCAGATATGTTCAGATAAGTTTTAGAAATATGTTGTTTCAGACAGGATCTAAGGATGTGGCTGAGTGATCCCCCTCGGATTTTAACTTGCTCTAAGAATCTTCCAGGGATGGACAGCATGTACATTGATCATGGAACACTTTTTTCCACAAATATTTTAAGTGGTATTTTAGGAAACATTGGATTAGACTAAAGGCCACTCAGACTGTGTCTAGTATTTGTAGTCTGTTGTTTCCTGCACTAATGTAAACTATAACCCCCTAAATTATGTTGATATGATGCCTTTACTAAACGAGGACACTAATATAATTGATAGATCATTTGTCAGTGTTAGCAGCCAGCGTTACCTGCATCAACAAGATTTCCAGCAGTTGGTTGGGAGAAGTTGCTTAGTAGAGATTCAATCCATGCTGTCACTTGCGCAGAACACCAGACATGGAATTTCAGCTGTAGTTTGAGTATCTCACTTATAGCCATGTGCTAGCTGAGAACTACCTTAATTTTTCATGTATTATTTCATTTTTATGAAGTAGTAGTATCTTTATGTGGATAGTTTGGGCCATTTTAGGGCCAGAAAATCATATTAATTTTAACCTGAAGAACACAGACAGAGTCCTTATCCAACTTCCTCACTTCAGTTGGTGTGGAACAGAGGCCTGACCTGGTAGCGGCTCAGAGTTGCCAGGACCAGGATTCCAGATTTGGATTTGCAGGCCACGATTCTTTTCCCATCTTCTCTTTCTTTGAATAATACCTGTCAAATGGGTTTTCCTGAATATAAAAGAGAATCCTGTCTATGAATATCCACTCTGAAAATCTGCTGACCTTCTTGCCAGAAGACACAAATATGTTCTCCTCTTATGAGTAGGAAGCAGGACTCTTATATTTGCAGAAATGGAAGCATTTCTGTCTTGGGGGAAACAAGAAGAGGTGCTCTTATTGATGCTTTGTATTGAAAAACAGACCTTGGACTTTTCTTGAGACCTGAAAAAAAAAATCCCTGTTTTATTCCATCTCAGAGGGAGTGAGTTCTTTCTGTCTGTTGGCAGAATTGAGACTAGGACCAGTCACCTTGACTTTTATCTCAATTACATTGATGCCTGTATCATTGTATCTCAGTAATAACTCATAGAAAAGGCCTTGCTCTAATCAATAACTGAATATCTCTAATTTGCCACTTGGGCAAGGAAAATTAATCCAACAGGTAAGGTATAAGTGGAGTAGGAAATGGCAACCCACTCCAGTATTCTTGCCTGGAACATCCCATGAACAGGGGATCCTGATGGGCTATAGATCATGGGGTCGCGAAGAATCAGACATGACTGAGCAATTGAGCATGCAAGGCATAAGTCGTGAGCTGTTAATGCCCATCTTACTGTTATCCCCTGAAATTCACTTTTGATATCTATTTACTGTTATGTTATTTGTCGTTGGAAATTAGAATATTAGAAAAGTTAAAAAGGAATTACGATTGAAGATGGAAATTCTTTGGCTACTGAAGTTTTTAAACTGAAATAACAATTCTGTGTTCTGGTTTTTTTTTTTTTTTTTCTGTCTGAAAGTAGAAAATAGTGTTTTGTACAGTTCTGCAACCAAGTTGGCCCATTTCAAGTGTATATTGACTTTTTACATGTAACGTGGAAACAATAAAAAATAACAGACTGAAGTTGCTTGTAATCATGGATGTTGGCCATCTTAAAAAAAGAAAAAAAGCTTCATGCATATGGTAACTGGCAACTTGAAAGTGTCACGAACTGAAAATGAAAAACATGCAAAGTGAGAGAGTGAAGGAGAGAAACTGTAAGGAAACTAAAGATAAATGTGTTCATCTCTCTCTAAGCTGAATCATGATTTATAGCCATTTAATAACATCTTTCCCTTTCCCAATCAGGACAGCAGCAAAATATATACAACGCACATTTCCTATTTGGAAATCTACAATGAATGTGGTTATGATCTATTGGATCCAAGACATGAAGCCTCCAGTTTGGAAGATTTGCCGTGAGTAGCAGAACAACAAAGAGTGGGGGAAAATTACTTTCAGATGTTTCCTTCAATTGTTTTCTTTGAAACTTTGTATGTTTCTGGTCTCAATCATAATTAACAAATACTGGATAACAGAATCTTTTTGTAGTGTAGTGGATTTTTTTTCCAGTTATGACAAATAGACAGTAGTGATGGGACCTAAAATTGCTTGAAACTCCATTCTTGAAACGATCTCTCTTGGAGTTGGTACAAGCGGATGCAGTGAATGTTCTCAGAGAGTGGGCGCCCAGAGGACTGATGGGCTGTGACAACTCCGCTTTACTCCCGCCACGTGAAATGAGACCATTTTACTCCTCCGATTGTGGCCTTTCTCTGGGGAAGGTATTCAAATTAGCAATAAAAGAATCTGAAAGAGAGAAAGTAAAACTTCAGTTAGTGTTAGTCACTCAGTCGTGTCTGATTCTTTGCGACCTCATGGACTGTAGTCGGCCAGGCTCCTCTGTCCAGGGAATTCTCCAGGCAAGAAGACTGGAGTGGGTTGCCATATCCTCCTCCAGGGGATCTTCCTGACCCAGGGATCAAACGCCGGTCTCCTGCATTGCAGGCAGTCTTTACCTTCGGGGTCACCAGAGAAGAGAGAAAATAAAGCTTTGTTTTCCCAACTGCTTCCCTACAGTGACTGACTAACATTGACATGCTTTTGGTCAGATTGGCACTGATTGTTTCATAACTGAAATAGAAATAGAGTCTTCAGAGCTTATCTCTCATAATGGAATAAGATTGGCACTGATTGTTTCATAACTGAAATAGAAATAGAGTCTTCAGAGTTTATCTCATAATGGAATAAGTTACTCTGTAAGCGTATATGTAATATTCCTCACTGCTTGCTTAAATATTTGCTTAAGTTATACCTATATTTAGTAATAATTCATATACTTTTGTTCAGACATCTTTAGAGTGTTGGTAGAACCAAGACAATGTATCATGATATTTTTCTTATTAACTATTCTAAGACAGTTTAAACTATATGTTAATCCTCTACCAAAAAGGTCAACAGTCATTTGCTTATTTTAATTTGTAAAGGAAACAAGAAGAGATAATAAAACATGTATATATATAAAAAATATATGTAAAACATATATATTCTTCTGTAAATGTTGATTAAGAGTTTTACGTCTCATCTTTTTTATGTTAACAGTATTTACTAGAGTGAGTTAGGAAAGGGGATTGTTGTTGGTACTGCTAATATTTGTATAAAAATTAAGAGAAAGGAAAGACTACTGACTCCATGCGAGAAACTGCCCTTAAAGAAATCATTGGAATTAAGTTTACAAAAAGGAAACACTTTCCTCACAGAAAGGATAGAAACAATAGCATTTAAGACAGAAAAGCTATGTGTTGAGGAGTCATGTGAAGTGAAAGCAGCAAGGCCAACTGAAGCCAGCCTTTGGGGGACGTGGATGACAGGATTTTGGTGTGAGATTGATCTTTATTCTAATAGGCTTCTTAATTAGTTTTCTAGCCTCCAGTCTAATCTGTATACCTCTAGGCTAACTCTTGCATTCCAGGTGACGCTAGTGGTAAAGAAGCCGCCTGCCAACGCACGAGACATAAGAGATGTGGGTTCAATCCCTGGGTGGGGAAGATCCCCTGGAGGAGGGTGTGGCAACCCACTCCAGTATTCTTGCCTGGAGAATCCCATGGACAGAGGAGCCTGGCGGGCTACAGTCCATGGGGTCGCAAAGAGTCAGATGTGACTGAAGTGACTGAGCAAGCACGCAAGATTGCTTTTAACAAGCCATGTCTACACGGAAGAGCTTGAAGCATGTTTAGTAATAAATCCAAAAATGAAGGGCTTGACTGTGATGAACATGGAGAAGAGAGAAATCTGAGGGATGTGCAATAAATAAATAGGAGGAAAGAAGGAAAGGAAGGAAGATAGAGAGAGAGAGAGGAAGATAAAGAGAGGTAGATTCTGCCTCCCACCTCGGGTCTGACTGGTTCTGCAGAGAAGGTGAATCCCAGAGGTTACGGCTCTGTTTGTTTTGCTGGTTGAAGAGAGGTAGCTCAGAAAGCTAGGACTTGCCCAGGGTTTCAAAACTACTCAGTTAGTGGTAGAATAAAGATTAAAAACCAGATACTCTCACTCTCATGCCAGAATAGCAAAAATAGCTTCAAGGTTTTACCACAGGACCTAGAGAATTAAGGCGTCATTGACCTAAAAGGGAGACTTCCATTAGAAAACTTGTGCAGGAAGGAGGTTGTGATGAGTTTCACAGGTGTACCTTAGAGTCTGAGAACACCGCACCAGATGTGCGCATTTACAGGGCATTCCACGGAGGTAGGGCATATGCCTTCCTTGCGCTGGTAGTCTCTTTCCCACCTAGGCTGAAGTAACTCCTTAAAATGTTTAACAATTGTCTGTTAAGTTGAAACCATGGAGGAGACTCTTGGAAGAGGAGAATGTGTAGGGAAAACAGCATGAGCTCTGTGAGTCTAACTGGCATAGTTAGGTGCGGTCTCACTATGGGACAACCACGGAGTGAGAAAAGCACTTTGAGCTGCAAGAGAGGTGATGTGATCTGGAGGAAAGAGCACGTGATGAGAAGGCAGGAAATTTGGGTTCTAGTCCCAAACCTACAATCTGAAACCATTTTTTCCCCCACTTTCCTGATTTCTCTTTGTTTGTAAAATGTGGGCATTAGATTATATAATATTTAACAACCATCCAACCTCCAGTGTCTAAAGTTCAGAGATTAGTGATCTCATAGGGTGGTAGAATTTATTTGGTGGTTCTTCTCCCTTTCACAGAAGAATAAGAAGTGCTCTAGGTACTTTCTGTTGTCCTACTAGAAAATACCCTTAGGCCTCTTGAGAGCAAGGGAAAGGCTTAATTCCCTCTGTGACTCTCCTTCTCCCAGCATGCCTGGCATTTAGCCGTGGTTGTAGGTGTTGGTGGGGTTGTCTCTATAGCTGGTGCCAGCTTCCTGTCTAAAACTGCAGTTCCTTCTTTAGTAGCTCTGTCTTGTTGCTGGAGAAGGAGTTCCCTGACTCAAGTCCGAAGTGCCCTCAGTTACAAAACAGATGTTTTTAATGAACTACCCCACACCCCACCCCACCCCCACACATGCACACACACACCCACAAAAGTGGTCTGAAAGTTTCTTATGTTTCAGACTATAATTACATGACAACAAATGTCATTAAAATAAAAATGAGAAGAGTCTCATTAAGAAAGGAGATTCCCATATCCCAAGGCTGTATCCTGTGTACTTCAGATGTATTCAATAGTGTAAAATCCCAGAACAGCTCAGAGCTGTGTAGTCTTTTGGTGTGGGGATAATGGGATTTGACTGGTATTGAGTCTGCTAGTTTTCTGGGGATTTTGAAGGTTTTACCTTTTACTAAGATGATAAAGCAATTCTTTATAATGGGATGTGACTTTTGTTGTACCTGGATTGGATTAAGAGTGTGGATGCACTCTTAATCTGGTTTCACACTCTTAAACCAGAACAGGCTCTAACTCTGAAATCCTGTCTGTCTGGTTGACTAGCTGTATTTGTTGTAAGCAGAAATGTCCCAAATACTCTGAGTATCATTCAAAAATACTAGGCAAGATGTCTGTTGACCTTGGTTCTCTCCCAAAGTCATCCATTTGAGGGACAATGACANACTCTTAATCTGGTTTCACACTCTTAAACCAGAACAGGCTCTAACTCTGAAATCCTGTCTGTCTGGTTGACTGGCTGTATTTGTTGTAAGCAGAAATGTCCCAAATACTCTGAGTATCATTCAAAAATACTAGGCAAGATGTCTGTTGACCTTGGTTCTCTCCCAAAGTCATCCATTTGAGGGACAATGACAGTACACACTTTTGATCCCTTCCATATTCTTATACTTGGGTTAACCATGTGACATAGAGTTCAAGGTTATTTTGATATGTCACAATAATAGCATCAGTAATAAGTTCCTTACCACTGAGCAACATAGCTTCCCCCCAGTTCACCTGAGGGACACCCACCCTTGCTTTTCTCACACGTGCTTTGCCTTTTCTGTTTCTTTTTCCTCTTATATTCTAACGGGTTCCACCTCTCTGCTCTTGCAGAAGCATTTACAAGCCTGTTGACTTCCTGTGAACTTTGTATATATACTGTCAGGGCACCAGGCTAAAGTCAATCACTTTTTGCAATTATTGCTCTAGTCATTTGGCAATGAGATTTTTAGATACAAGACCAAAGGTATGACCTGTGAAAGAATAAAACAGGTAAGTTGAATTCATTAAAATTAAAAATATTGGCTCTCTGAAAGGCACTGTCAGTAGCATAAAAAGACAAACCAGAGACTCAGAGAAGTTATTTACCAAACACATATCTAATAAAGGACTTGTATTCAAAGCATTCAAAGAACTCTTAACATGCAACTATAAGTAAACAATTCAATTAAGAAGTGAGGAAGAAATCTGAAGAGACATTTCACCAAAGAAGATATATAGATGGTAAATAAGTATATGAAAAGATGGTCAACATCATCTGTCACTGAAGAATTGTTAGTTAAAACACAAGATACCACTACACACCTTTTAAAACTGTTAAACTAGCAATATCAAATCAAATCAAATGCTGACAGCAATATCAAATGCTGACAAGAATGCTGACAAAAGTGCTGGTGGGAAAGCAGAATAGAATGGCCACTCTGGAAGACAGTTTCTAATTTCTTACAAAATTAAGCATAAGTCTTACCATATGATCCAGCAATCACATTCCTTGGTATTTAACTAAATGAGGTGAAAATTTATGACAGCACAAAAACCTACCCACACATGGATATAGCAGCCTTATTCATAATTACCAAAAGCCAAAAGTAACCAAGATATTTCTCAATAAGCAAATAGAAAAACGGTGGTACATCCATGTAGTGAAATATTATTTGGCAATAAAAATAAATGAGCTATTAAACCATAGAAAGACATGGAGGAACATTAAATGTACAGTGCTAAGTGCAGAAGCCAGCATGAA